TTTTTGAAAATAAATACACTCCTCTTCACCCTTAGCTCTACCACTCTCTCCCATACTTTCATAGTATGGCTAAGCAAATTGATACCCCGATAGTTATTGCAATTTTTGATATCACCCTTGTTTTTGTATACAGGAATCATCATGCTTCACCTCCATTCTTCGGGCATCTTCTTTATTCTAAAAATGACATTAAATAACCTAGTGAGACACTCCAAGCCTGCCTTGCCCGCACTCTTCCAAAACTCCACAAGAATTTCATCTTGCCCGGTCACTTTACCCCTGATCATCTTACCATAGCCCCCTCAACTTCATCAACTCTAATCCGCCTACAATACACAAAGTCACAATGACTACCGGAGAGTTACAAATTACCTAGTACAATGCTCTTGTCCCCCTCCTCGTTCAAGAGACTATGGAAGTAGGTCGGCCATCTCCGACGGATAAGCCCCTCATCCAACAAAACTCTACCTTCTTTGTCCTTAATGCACTTCACTTGGTCCAAGTCACGCGCCTTCCTTTCTCGTGCCTTGGCTAACCAGAACAACCTCTTATCCCCACGTCGGCCATCGAGTTCCTCATACAAACGACTAAAAGTTGCAGTCTTGGCCGCCATAACTACTAGCTTTGCCTCTTTCTTAGCCAACTTATAATGCTCTAAATTCACCCTCTTCTCCTCCTCATATACACTTTCCACTAGCTTTAGATACGCTGCTTTCTTGCTTTTCACTTTTTCTTGCACCTCTTCATTTTACCTCCAGTTTCCCTTGTGACCACCTGAGTAACCCTTTGAGACCCCTAATATCTCTCTCGCAGCTTCCCTAATGCACAACGCAGTCGTGGTCCACATAGCACTTGCATCCCCACTACTCCTCCAAGTCCCCATAGTCAACAGCTTGACCCCCAAATCCTGCGCTTTATCTTCCGTAAAGGCTCCCCACTTGATCTTATGTTGGCTATACATCACCCTCTTCCTCCCCTTCCTCGTGATATCAAGTTCCATGACCAGGAGCCTATGAAGGGCCGAGAGGTTCTCACTCGGGATGACCTTGCAATCTGTGCAAAGACCTCTATTGGACTTTCTGCAGAGTAAATAATCAATCTGAGTCTCGGCCACCTAACTCCGGAAGGTGACCAAGTGCTCCCTCTTCTTCGAGAAACTCGAGTTTGCTATCACCAAATCAAATGCTCTAGCAAAGTCCAGCAGAGAGGTTCCTCCTCTGTTTCTATCTCCAAAACTAAAGCCACCATGCATATCATCATACCCACCAGACGTCGCTCCATTGTGACTGTTGAAATCTCCTCCTATGAAAAGCTTCTCGGTATGTGGGATACCACGCACCATCTCATCCAAATCCTCCAAAAAATGCCTCTTGACTTCCTTATCCAAGACTGCTTGGGGTGCGTACACACTGATTATATTCAAAGTAAAACCTTCAACAACTATCTTAATAGTCATCAGCCTATCATTCACCCTCCTATCCTCTACCACTAGTTCACGGAGGTCCTTATCAACCAAGATACCTATCCCGTTCCTTCCCCCACCCTCCCAGAATACCATAGTTCGAACCTATCCACATCTCGCGCCTTATCGACTACCCATCTAGTCTCCTGTACACAAGCTATATTTATCTTCCTTTTCTCAAGAATTTTCGCTAACTCTATAGATTTTTTAGTCAAAGTTCCTATGTTCCAAGACCCCACTCTCAGCCTAGTAGCTCCCTTAGCCCTCTTACCCCCTTACCCCTCGCACCCCATCTCCCGCGCTGACACCCCCGAGGAAAAGACCTTACCCTACCATCGTTCACCAAAGCCACTATAATCTAGGAGTCACTACGCAAGCACTATCCTGAAACAAGCGACAAAAATAAAATAAATTACCGAAATATAATCTACCACTAAAGGTCACAAAACAGGTGAAGAAATAAAATAAAGGGACTAACGAGAACTATAATCTACAACTAAAGGTCAGAAAAATAGGTGAAAAAATAAAACAAAGGAACTAAAGGAAACTGTAATCTACAACTAAAGGACAGAAAAATAGGTGAAAAATATAATAAAAGAGCTAAAGGGGACTATAATCTACAACTAAAGGTCAGAAAAATAGGTGAAAAATATAATAAAAGAGCTAAAGGGGACTATAATCTACAACTAAAGGTCAAAAAGAAAATGTGCAAAACTATAGCAGAACTACAAGGGGATATATGAAATAAAGATTTAAAATAAAGATGTAAACAGGTAGATAACAATATAAACAAGTAGGCAAAGCTATGACTAATGCAACTAATTTGAAAATGCTAGGGCATATACTAACTAAAGATTCAAGAACAGAATAGACAGGCAAGGAGATACAATTACGCTAAAATATCAAACTATTAAAATATCAAGACAAGAGAGGAACAACAGAACCTGGATTACAGCCCTTGAAGTTAACGGAAATCTGACCGGCGGTGATGGATTGCGACGAGTTGGCTGAAAGGGTTAAAGTTTCAATCTTTGTTCCAAAAGCTAGGTTACGGAAGAAGTGGAAAGAGTAGAGACCAAGAACAGAATGTTCTTAAAGAAGTAGGGGAAGGGAACAAGAAGGGCAAGTGAGGAGGGAGGAATCTATAGGGGCGAAAATGGTAAGTGGGAAATTAATGGTGGAGATGTTGGCGTTGAGAGATGCGTTGGCCAGGTCTTGAAAACCGAGATTGTATAGGATGACGGCTAACGGAGATGGTGATTGACATGGTGATGGAGTTAGTAGAAGGTGCCGGCGAGATTCTAATGTTGAACGGAACAAAGGGTTTGCGGAGAGTTGAAAAATATTGGCAACATTAAGCAGTACTGTACATCCTCCGTATCTAAAAGTTTATGAATGATATAATAAAACGGTATTGTTGCAATACCAAAGTATAGTTTTGCTGTCCGATGAAATCATATTATTTGGCTTCCTCACATTTAAAAGAATCTGAGTGGAAACGACATAACACTGATGAATTTTTAACAAATGGCGACATGTGACAGAAATATCATAGGAATTGTATTCTTGAGAAAAACAAAAGAAGAAGAGATTAAACTTGCATTAATACCTAGCAAACATTAGTTCCAACATAGAAGCATAACGACAAAGAAGAAAAAGAAGACAAATTTTAAGAATACCTAACAAACATTAGTTCCAGTCACTAACATTGCATTCAAACTTCTTGGACCAAGTGTTTAAAATAATGAATTCAAACGTAATTATTGGTTATTATCTCTCCCAAAAACCAAGTATAATAATTTTCTATATGTTAGCGGGATTAATTAGAAGGATGAACGGAAGGGTTAGAATGCCATAAAGAGATGGGATTAAAAAGGAGTGTTTAAAAAATAAATAATCAGAAAAGAAAATTAAACCTGAAAATTAGGAAGGTTACCGGCTAATTAGCTTTTGCCGGTCACAATTACCTGATTGTGTAAAACAAAAGTTTATTACCTGATTGTTTAAAACAAAAGTTTACACAACCAGTGAATATTAGTTAAAGCTCATTACCCAATATGTGCATACTAGAGAACGAATAAAAAACATTTTGTGAAAAATGTAGAAACCCAAAAAAAAAAAAGCCAAATCATTTATAAGAGAAGAAATATAATTTAGGCTTCCTAAAAATCTTTGGAGATGAGTTTTATCTGTAATAACATCCGAGAATTTAAATGCAAACTCAATACTCTTCCGAATAGGGATAATTTTTTCCTTTTCAATAAAATGATCAAGAAATATTACCTTAGTGTGGCAAAGAAGCATCTTGGATTTAGACATTACTAAATCATTTTGTATGACAATCTTTTTAAATAATTCTAAATGTTTAAAATGCATTTCCAATTTTTTTGAAAATACTAGGATATCATCAATATAAACTATTATAAAATTAGTAAATGGTGTGAAGATATCATTCGTGATTTTCTCAAATTCAGAAGGAGCATTTTTCAAACCAAAAGGCATAACATTCCATTTATATTGTCCCATTGAAACATTAAAAGCAGTTTTGTATTTATCATTTTCAAAAATTTGTAACTTCCAATAACCAGATTTCAAATCAAATTTTGAAAATATAATAGCATCATGTAGTCTATCTAATAAATCTATTTTATTGGGAATTGGATATCTGATCCACTTTAAAACCTTATTAAGGGGCTTATAATTGATAACTAATCTAGGAACACCATGTTCTTGTTCAGCATGTTTATTAACATAAAAAGCGGTAGAAGACCACTTAGACTTAGAGGGTCTTATAAGTCCTTTATGAAGCAAAGAATCAATCTCTTCTTTTCATAATTTCAGATATTCAGAATTCATCTGGCAAGGCCTGGCCTTTATTGGAATATTATTTTCCTAGAAACCTTCTTCATAAGGAAGACTTACAATGTGTCTTTTCCTTTCCCAAAATTGATTTGGATGGTCACTACATATTTGTAGAGAAAATTGATTTTTTTAGGAAATTAATTTTTTCAATAAGTTTTTGGATTTTGTAAATCCTCTTCTATAGTAAGATTGTAAATCTCATCTTTTAAAAAATCTACTTGTCTACATTTTGCAGTTATATTATCAGAAATATCATTAAGAAATTTTTGAAATGGATGAGTTATAAACTCAAAATTAATTTCTTTATTATTAAAAGTTTCAGTAAAATCCTGGGTATCCCATCTAGTAAATGGTATTATATAATGAAAAAATGGGACTCCTAATATGATCTTATGAGATATATCTCTGACTAAAACAAAAGTTTCAAGTATACAAACTTTACTTTGGAAAATATAAGCTTTTGGTAATTTATAAGAAATACCCATTTGATGTCCACTAGCATTTCTTAATCTATGAGTAGTTTTATGAAAATATCTTGAAGGTATTATTCCTTTATACAGTTTAAATCTGCACCACTATCAAATAAAGCAGTAAACTCTTTTTTGAAGTTATAATCTATTAAAAGAGTGACTTTTATTAAAAAAATTTGAGTAGTAAATAACTAGAGTTTTTGTAGAAACTCATCTTCCGCAAAATCAATTGTCCCTAAGAAATTGCCTTTTGCAGCATTCTTAGATGTACTAGCTTTAGTATCGTCAGTATCTGCTTCAGTTATATCAGTCCTGAATTCATGACTTATATTATCATTAGAATCTTCTAATTTAGAGATTCTTTTATCTAAGGCTATATTTGAAGCTTAAGGTTTGAAATCTCTCTTTTGAGATTATCAATATCATACTTCAGGTCTTGAACAGTAGTTGGCCTATCAGTGGCCTAGGATTTTTCTTTTAAAATCATCTTAATATCATACATTGTATATGGTCCCTTTGAGAAGGAATTTCTTCGATCTCTGGACTTGCAGGTATTTTGTTCATTTTATCAATAATTTGGGACCTTAACTCTGGGTCTTTAATAACCCTGAAAAATTCTAATAAATTATCATTAGTCAGGTCATTAATATCTAAGTCCTTAAATTGTGAATAGATATTATAAAACTCATCATTTGTGTTGTTATTATAACACTAATTCTGCTTGCAAGGTCCACACTGATCACTTGAGAAAATATAATCTTCCTCTTGTAGAACCCTTAAATTTTCATCAGTTGATGAATCTTCTCTATCACTATTTTCTGGAGAATTTTTCAGAGAAGAATTTAACATAATCTTATATAATGAGTCCTTAATATTATCATCTATGTCAAGGTTCTTAATTTTATCCTTGACTCTATAATCCTTAGCATAATGTCCTACTTTTTTACATTTGTAGCAAGCATTAGGCCTATTTGATTTTATAAAATCCTTTCTATGCCTATAAATATCTCTTCTCTTGTTTTTACGCTCTAATCTTTTATGAAAAGATCCCCTAATCTTCTTATGTTTATAAGACTCATGCTTATGTCTATGAGATTTAATGACCCGACTGGTCGTTTTGAGCATATACATTCCGTTCATCTATTTGAAGTTTTGAGCAGCGTCATGTGATGTATTATGACTTGTGTGAATCATCATTTTTGCTTTTTAGGTTATTCGAAATTGATTGGAAGAATGAATTTCATGATTGAAGCTTAGAGTTGGAAAAGTTGACCAAGTTTGACTTTTTAGTATTTGACCTCGGATTGGAGTTTTGATAGTTCTATAACGCCCGGATGGTAATTTTGGACTCGGACGTATGCCTGAATTTGCATTTGAAAATTTCAAAAAGGTTTCGGCGCTAATTGGCGAAAGTTGAAAATTTGAAGGTTTGAAAAGTTCATAAGTTTGACTGAGAGTTGACTTTGGGGCTATCGGGTTCGAATCATTGTTTCGAGGATTGGAATAGCTTCGTTATGTCATTTTGGACTTGTGTGCAAAATTTGAGTTCATTCCGAGTTGATTTTATATATTTCGACACGAGTTTTGGAAGTTGAAAGTTCAAAAGTTCATTAAGTTTGATTTGAGGTGTCATTCGTTATTTTGATGTTGTTATGCATGATTTGAGGCCTCAAGTAAGTCCATGTTATGTTATGGGACTTGTTGGTATATTCGGACGGGATCCTGAGGTGTTCGGGTGAGTTTCGGATCATTTTGGAAATTTTG